CCACAGAGTGGGTCTCCTCAGGGTGCCGTCAGCCAGACAGTGCCGGCTGGCGACCCCAAGGGGGAGGGCCTTCTCTGTGGGAGCTCCCACCCTCTGGAACGAACTGCCCCCAGAGATCAGGGTGATCCCTGATCTCCCTTCCTTCCGCCGCGCCCTCAAGACATGGTTGTTCCAGCTTGCGGGACTGGCCTAGGGGATTCTAGAGGGGTTTTAACTATTTTTAATTGAATTTGACTTAAATATTTCCCTTTTAACTAATTTTAAACTTTATTGTAATTTCTGTAGTTTTATTCGATATGTTAGCCGCCCTGAGTCCGTAAGGAGAAGGGCGGGATACAAATGTAATAAAATAAATAAATAAATAATAAATAATAAATAATAAATATTATTATTATTATTATTATTATTATTATTATTATTATTATTATTATTATTATTATTACGATGATGATGATGATGATGATGATGATGATGATGATGATGATGATGATGATGATGATGATGATGATGTTGATATTACCTAGCTGGGTAATGAAATGTCTGCAAGCAAACATCCAGAGTCAGAGACCCTTAAGAATTCCACCGTTGAACCCTGAGCTATAGATATTGTCTTCTACAGGGAGAAAGGACAATATTGGAATGTCGAAATGTTTTCCCTTTACTTTCCTAGATTTTACAGCCCTGCTGGTGGACATTGTGGGAAACTCCACCAGTTATCTTACTGAGATTTTCAAGTCAACCTCCATTGTGTCAGGTAAAAATTGTTGCTGTTTCTTTGGCTGCTTAATCTGATACCCCATTTATTCCTTGTTACTAAACGAAGGAAATAAGGAAGAAGGGAATGTAGCTTAGGGAAAAACAATTGGCTGATGGGGTAAGAATACCCCACCCCATCCATCTCTTAGCTCTCTTGGTTTCAATTTTAGTACAGTTTTTAATAATATTTTAATCTGTGTAGTTTTAATATAAGCTCCTTTGAATTCCATGGAGAATAGCTTTCTACAATAGCAATTTTTTTCCAGTCCATAGCTCAATCCTTTAACTGTAGAAACCAATTGAAGAAAGCAATTTCAGGCAAAATTTTCAGACAAAAGCCCTAACCCCCCCCCCCAAATAATTTCCTTTTGCATTTAAGAAATTATAAGTATTTTTGGGTGATCCCTTGGCATTAGCAGCGTTTTGATTTTAGAACCTCAGAGAGTTAAGGTTTTTCTTTTTCTTTTTAAGGTTTTGCTATTTCCTTCCCTATGCGAATTGAAAATTAGCTTCTGTTAGGATTTTAGTTCCAGTTTAAGGAATCTTAAATAAATTAACGAAACAATTATCTTCTTTCAGTCAGCCAGAGCAATGATACAGATTGCATCTACATTTGCGTCATGTCAGGACGAATAGGTAAATCTGAAACTCTTCTTTGTTCAGGAATGTATTGCTTAAAGTTGAACCCCATATATGTACGTAGGTGTCTTCTTCTCCATCTTTCTCTCTTCCCCATCCCAGTTATGGACTCCACCATTTTACCTAAGGGCAGGAATTGCATATGTCTAGTTTATTGAAAAGAAACACTAGGGGTGACATGATAGCAGAGTTCCAATATCTTAGGGGTTGCCACAAAGAAGAGGGAGTCAAGCTATTCTCCAAAGCACCCGAAGGTAGAACAAGGACCAATGGATGGAAACTAATCAAGGAGAGAAGCAACCTAGAACTAAGGAGAAACTTCCTGACAGTTAGAACAATTAACCAGTGGAACAACCTGCCTGCAGAAGCGGTGAATGCTCCAACACTGGAAGTTTTTAAGAAGAGATTGGACAGCCATTTGTCTGAAATGGTATAGGGTTTCCTGCTTGAGCAGGGGGTTGGACTAGAAGACCTCCAAGGTCCCTTCCGATTCTGTTATTCTCTTAGCTCCAACTAAATACGTTTTTGAGGGGCATGGCCTATTTTGCTCAACTTTGTGTTGTGGACCAATTACCTCCTTTGCTGGATAAAGAGGCCCTTTGCTCACTGACTCTCCCACTGATTGTCTCCCATTGGGACTATTGAAAAATATCCAGAAGCTTCAGCTGGCACAGAATGCAGCTGCATGAGCAATCTTGGGTGCTCCAAGGACGATGCAGGTAACACCTTTGCTGCATAAGCTGCATTGGGTGCCAGTTTGCTTCCAGGTCCAGTTCAAGGTATTGGCAATGACCTTTAGAGCCCTACCTGGCATGGGCCTGTTGACCTCAGAGCTGTCTTTGCCCCATTAGATCAACCTGTCCCATCCAGCCAGGGAGGGAAGGTACGCTGTGGATCCCATCAGTTAAAGAACTCCAACTTAAAGGGCCCAGGAAGAGAGCTTTCTCTGTCATCTGCCCCCATCCTGATGAATGTTCTCCCCCCCCCCCCGAGGTGAGGTGGAGCCCCATGATCCTGGTCTCTTAGAAATCTTCTGCTGGCTCACTTGGGGCCCACAGAGCAGCCTAAAGTCATGGGACTGGTTAGCATTCTGAAGCCCCTCCCCTGCCTTTTTAGTCTATTTTATTCTTGTTTTTAACTGTTTTGTGTTTATGTTTGTTTGTTTGTTCACCATCCAGTCACTCTCTGTCTGTCTGTCTGTCTGTCTGTCTGTCTATCTATCTATCTATCTATCTATCTATCTATCTATCTATCTATCCATCTATCTACCTACCTACCTACCTACCGAATCTACCTACCTACCTATCTATCATCTATCTATCCATCCATCCATCCATCCATCCATCCATCCATCCATCCACCCACCTACCTACCTACCTACCTACCTACCTACCTACCTATCTACCAAATCTACCTAATCTACCTAATCTACCTACCTACCTACCTACCTACCTACCTACCTACCCACCCACCCATCTATCTATCTATCTATCTATCTATCTATCTATCTATCTATCTATCTATCTATCTATCTATCTATCTATCTATCTATCTATCTATCTACATACCTACCTACCTACCTACCTTATCTATCTATCTATCTATCTATCTATCTATCTATCTATCTATCTATCTATCTATCTATCTATCTATCTATCTATCTATCTACCTACCTACCTACCTACCTACCTACCTACCTACCTACCTACCTACCTACCTATCTATCTATCTATCTATCTATCTATCTATCTATCTATCTATCTATCCTCTATCCTCCATCTAGATATAGACATAGATATACAGTAGATCAGTGGTGGGATTCAAATATGTGAACAATCAGTTCTCTGTGTGGATACCCCTTCCGGAAGTCCATTCTGGGCCTGGGCAACAAAAAATTAGATACTGGTTCTGCCAAAGTGGTGTGAAGCGGCTGAATCCCACCACTGCAGTAGATATAGATGTAGATTTAGATATATAGATATAGTGTGTTAAATTCTGCAGAGGTAGTGATATTTTTTGCTCTGGATTATGGGAGTCCCAGTTTTGCAACCCTGCAAACAAGTTCAGGTTTCTGCTCAGTGCAGTGGTCTTCTCCTATCTTCTTTAGGGCCCCCTGTGCTTCCGGTTTCACCCCCCTTCTCCAGGATGATTTTTCACTCCTTCCTTTTGGTGAAGGGAGTCAGGGCAACCTAAGGTAGAGGTCCTCAAGCCGGCCTCTTCAAGCGTTTCTTTAATTCCTTCAAGCCTCTTTATTGATTCGATGTTGATGCTGTCGAAATCCAGCCAACATATAGGAAAGGCGCATTCAAAAGAGGGAGAATGGGATGCTGTATATTTTATTGGTTTCTCCATGGCGCTAGATATAGGGGTCACTCAACCAAAAGCAATGATGTCTTCCTCTCCCCACACTTTTTTCTCTCTCCATAGGCAGAAATCTTACAGACCTATGGGAAGCCATAGAGAAGTCTCCTATAGTCAACTATACTTTTTCCGGTAACATATCAGACTTCTTGGGTGAGTATACGTAGTCTGGAGTTATGGGAGGGAAGGGCTTTCTCCCAGAAAAACAGAGCTTGGAATATCTGGTGGGCAGGAAGAGAGCAAGATCAGAGCCTCCCTAGGAATTCAAAAACTTCTATAGTTATTGTAGACGATTGCTTTAGTCTGGCAAAATTCTGTCTGTCGTCAAACAGCTATTAAGCAGCTACTCAGAAGTAACTCCATGTATCGCTCTCAGTTCTTTGGGCCTAACATTATGTCCTGAATATGTTAATTCAGGAGAGAGAAAAGAGGGATTAGAGTAGTCCACAACTGAATATTCAATGGAGCCAGTTCTGACATGAGACATACTGAAACAGCAGCCCCATGTCACAGTTGTTGCATGCCATAAAAGATTATTACAGCTGTCTCTTTTTTTTAAACCACCAGGGATATACAAAAGAATCTTTTCTTTCTCAAAAGTTGAATAATTTGATCTCTATCTTTTAAAAAGTCCTTATATTAAAGTTTATTATCTGATAAAAAAAACAAAAAGAAACAAAAGAAAACTAAGAGAAGGAAAAACAAGGGTGCAGAAAGTAAGTAAGAAAGAAAGAAAGAAAGAAAGAAAGAAAGAAAGAAAGAAAGAAAGAAAGAAAGAAAGAAAGAGAATAGTGACTTCTAACTTTTTCTCAATGCAGTAGATTACAAAAAGAATTTAAACCTCCGCTTTACCTAGTTTTACATTTCTCCACATTTCAGGCCATTTCTAGAACAACAAAGCCATTCTAATCATCAAAACCTAAAATCAAAGTTTAATTTTTCCCCCCAGTTTGAGCAAAAAGTCCAGAAGCTCAGTATTTTCATTTTGACCTCTGCATTTCACATTTTGCTTTGGGTGAAATATGATCAGAATTTTACACAAAATTCTATATTCTTCCTTTTAGATAGAGAGATAAGAAAATGGAAAGAGGAATGAGGTCAAGGAATAAGAACAAAAAACAATAAACTTGGTGCCACCCAGAAAATTAAAAATCTGGGCTAGACTTACCTACTTTACAAAGATGATTTTCTGCAGCAAGTTCCTCTATTTTATCCCAGATTTCTAGAACGTCCAAGCTTTAATCAGAAGTTCTTTGAGACTGATAGTCAGCTTTTTTTTTTGTCCCACCCTAGGTCCATATTTCATTCCTTGATTTCCTCTTGAAGATCTGTTCATGTTTTAAAAGAACTTAGGTCGAATAGGAGGAGCTGAAAGAATGTGATTGTTATACACATGACGGAGGTACCCCAGTCCTCAGGAAATATATTGACAAGCTAGCTGGCATGTAAGCTGATTTGAATCAGCCAGCTGTAAATGCTAGGGTTTGTAGCCTCCATACTCACAACATGTCAACACTCCTCACATGCAGCCACTGTTTTTCCATATTCTATTTGGTAACAGCCATTAAGTTTTATCCCTCCCTCCCTCCATTTATCTATCATCCATCTCCCTCCCCCGATATGTTTATACTTTTCAATAAAATCCAATCCCTATGATTTATGTGGTGATTCGTGGGCTATGAATGTTCACAAGATTGCTGATCTAATGATGGTGGAAGTATGGGAAGACACCTCCTGGACACAAGCTAGTGAATCAACAAGCTAATCAACATTACATTTTGTTTGGGGGCTGAATTGTCTGCTTTTCAGTATTTTATCATATCAACATTTAGCCTATTGGGCATGTCAAGTGGTATCCCTAGAGATCTAATATCCATGAAAAGCCTTTATATATAATCATGGGGAATCCCAAAGGTGGTTTTTCATGAGGCAACTGCACTTCCTTTTTTCTCTTTGAAGACGTTTCGCTTCTCATCTAAGAAGCTTCTTCAGCTCTGACTGGATGATGGGGAATGGGTGGGTTTATATTCCTTGCAGACAGCTGGTCATTTGCATTCTTTTAGAGAGTCATTGATGCCACAGGTTTATCTGTGTTGTCAGGGTCCCCTGCGTAATGCAAATGGGTGTGGAGCTTCTTGGAACTGCTGAAAGGACCATGTTGTAGACTGGAGATAGATGATTTCGTGTCCCTCCCCCCCGTTGAGAGAGGGCTGTTAAATTTTGACAAAGATGGCTTCTTTGACCCCTCTTTCAAACCAGCGGTCCTCTCTGTCCAAAATGTGGAGTTTGTTGCATTCAAAACAGTGGCCTTTGTCTTTTAAATGCAGATGGACTGCTGAATCTTGTCCTGATTGGTTTGTTCTCCTCTGTTGTGCCATGCGTTTATGAAGTGGTTGTTTTGTTTCCCCAATGTACAGATCTGCACATGAAGCTGAAACATAATTCCACAAACAATAAATATGTTTAACATCTTTCAGCTTCAAAGTTGCCTAGCTCGACACAGACTGATACCTTGAAAGAAGACCTGTTGTTGACAAAGCAGTCAAATTGGCTGAAGCCTGGAAAAGCAGAAGGATCCAAAGTTCCAGTGCTACAAGCTTCCTGGTGGCCGAAGACCAATGCTTCCAAAGAATCTGGTCCTCCATCTGCTGAAACAACCTTGACGAGGTCTTCTCCTGCTTCCATAGAAAACTACAACACTTCATCAAGGTTTCTGCCAGCTCATAGTGAGTCTGCATAGGCTATATAGTTGTGTGGTATGAATACTTCAACCAATCAGTTATAGACTCCTCAAACCATCCCTGACTTCATGCGGTATAGTATTATCACATTTATTTTAAAATGATTTTACTTGCTTAAGATAATTTTTATTCCAGTCTTCCATTTTTCTAAGTCCTAAAACACATTCAAAATTGTACATCAGTATATTGTATATCAGTATATTGACCATAAGAAAGGCTGAGCGCCAAAGAATTGAGGCCTTTGAACTATGGTGCTGGAGAAGACTCCTGCAAGTCCCCTGGACTGCAAGGCAATCAAACCGGTCAGTCTTAGAAGAGATCAACCCTGACTGCTCTTTAGAAGGCCAGATCCTGAAGTTGAAACTCAAGTACTTTGGCCACCTAATGAGAAGGAAAGACTCACTGGAGAAGAGCCCAATGCTGGGAAAGATTGAGGGCAATAGAAGAAGGGGACGACAGAGAATGAGGTGGCTGGATGGAGTCACTGAAGCAGTAGACATGAGCTTAAATGGACTCCAGAAGATGGTAGAGGACAGGAAGGCCTGGAGGAACGTCGTCCATGGGGTCGCGATGGGTCGGACACGACTTTGCAACTAACAACAATGACATATTGTGTGTGTGAGCCAGTATGGTGAAGTCATCAGCCTAGAATTCAGGAGTCTCTAAGTTCTAGTCCTGCCCTTTTAGCCCTAGGAAAGAGACCAGGACAAACCCCTTCTGAAAAACCTTGCCAAGAAAACTTCAGGGATTTGTCCAGCGAATCTCCAAGAATTGGACACGGTTGAACACAAGAAAAAAGATTGCAAGATCATCTCAACTTTATAGAGTTTGTAGCTTGCACAAACTAGCATGAGCATGGATTAAAAATGGGTTTGCTTGTAGGTGTGATTTACTGGTCAAAATGTGCCAGAACTAACACAGTCTATACTTTATCTTAGTAAAACGTAGTATGAGAACTCAGCCAGTTTCAGGATGGACAGCAGATCTGACTATTTATGGGCCCATCTGATGAAGCCCATAGCCTTCAGAACATTGCAACTTGGAATGTAAAAAGAGTAAATCAGACATGTCAAACACAAGGCCCGGGGGCCAGATGCAGCCCGCGAAATGGTTTCATGTGGCCCGCGAAGCCATCCTGGAAACAGTGAGGGAACGGCCCCCGCTGCCTTGGCCCTGGCCCAGGCCGGCCGGGAGCCAATGTACAATTTTGTGGTAGCCATCTATACTGAAACACATTCAGTCTTAGCTCCACAAGGCCGTCTAGAAACAGTGAGGAACCAGCCCCTGCCACGTCGGCCCCAACCCCTGGGTGCATGCTGGGGAGGTGTCACCCTTTGTGAGGAATGAAGAAATGCACCATCACCTGGAAGTGGCCAGAAAATGGCCCTCGCCTACTTCACATATTTGGCTTGATGGGCTCTGGGGGAGGGATTTCAGCAGGCAGCGGGGCGCTCTCCTCACAGTGCCGAGAGGCTGAGCCGGGTGGCGCAAATCCAAAAAGAAACGCAAGGCCGCCCAGCTCCCAGCCTGCCCAGTTTCAGCAGGCAGCGGGGCGCTCTCCTCACAGCGCCAAGAGCTGAGCTGGGTGGCGCGAATCTGATGAGAAGTGCAATGCTGCCTAGCCCCCAGCCTGCCCAGTTTCAGCAGGCAGCAAGGTGCAAAGTTGGCGAGCTTTGCACCGCCCAGCTCAACCTCTCGGCGCTGTGAGGAGAGCGCCCCGCTGCCTGCAGAAACCACGCCCACCCAGTAGGCCACACCCACTCTATCCACACCCACCCAGCAGGCCACACCCACCCTGGCCACACCCATCCGGCCCCCCAAGGGCAACCGCAATGCTGATGCGGCCCTCAATGAAATTGAGTTTGACACCCCTGGCGTAAATGATAAAGTGTATGTATTGAACTGAAAGAAAAAGAGGAATTATCTTGCTGTGGAACTAAAAAAGGAGAGCTATAATAGATCTGAATCAAGGTGGAGTCATTCTATGGAGTTGAACTAAAAAATACTGGCAGGGAAGTGAAGGTGTATGTTTAATTGCAATAGGACCATGCATTCAAACCAATGAACCAATGCCACAAAGAAGAGGGAGCCAGGCTATTCTCCAAAGCAATTGAAGGCAGGACAAGAAGCAATGGATGGAAACTAACCAAAGAGAGAAGCAACCTAGAACTAAGGAGAAACTTCCTGACAGTTAGAACAATTAACCAGTGGAACAACCTGCCTCCAGAAGCGGTGAATGCTCCAACACTGGAAGTTTTTAAGAAGAGACTGGACAGCCATTTGTCCGAAATGGTATAGGGTTTCCTGCCTGAGCAGGGGCTTGGACTAGATGACCTCCAAGGTCTCTTCCAACTTTATTATTATTATTATTATTATTATTATTATTATTATTATTATTATTATTATTATTAT